AGGCCGAACTATCCTTAGTTCGGTTCTTCCTTATACTCCTCCTTATCTCGGTTCTCTCATGTACAACCCATGGTATGTTTAGACCGAGCTTCCGAGTAGCAAGGTCATGATCATTCTAACCACAATTCGTTATAACCGAACTAACTCTGAGACCGGCCTAATGACAAGTTGCTTTCGGACCGAAGTAACTTTACACTTCTTCTGGGCCGGAGTAATCTTTTACCTCTCTTGGGCCAGAGTAATCTTACAGCCTTTTTACCCGGCCCTTCGTGCTTTGGGTCATAATGTCCATCTCATAGCTCGGCCTAATTTTCACCAAAATTACCCTCTCAATATTTTTATATTATTTATATATAAATAATAAATGCTAAAACCAGCTAGCTAATGAACTGAATTTACGAGTCGAGCTTTAGTATATTTGGGTTTGTTTATCAAAATTTTAACGAATTCAAATTCAAACTTGTGAATGCCAAAATATATATATATATATATATATTTAACGAATCGAATTCGAACAAATTTTTATCAAATCGAATTGGAACCTATTTACAAATAGTTCTATTCATTTGTAACCTTAGTTGAATGTACTTTTCCAAACTTTGAAAGAAGATAACGGGGTGTTTTGGAAACATTCTAAAAAAATCAATTTTTTAACTTTTTAACTTTTTTTTAGTAAAAAAAAAAGTTACAAAAAAGTTAGCTTTTTTAGTATAAAATGTCAAAAAATCACAAAAAAAAAATTAAAAACTCAACTTTTTACTAATTTTTCAAAACACCACAATGTAATTTATTGTAAAAAAAGAAATAATTTTTTTTTTTTTTTTTAAAAACTAGAGAACAGTAGCAAGCATAAATCCAATCAACGCATGTATTGGAGACTGTTTCAAACCCCAATATATATCCTTTTGTCTTCATTTAAATTTAAATTAAGCTTCGGAGATTCTTTTCTTCCTCATGTCCTTAAAAATTGACAGCATTCAAAAGCTCTCGAGCCAACTGATGAATTATTTATAGAATAATGTTTGAGACTCCTTTTTGGGGTCACCCTTTACTTCTTTTATCACGTGGCGGATGGTGATTGGAGGAGCAGGAAAAAAAAGAAAAAGAATAAAAAAATGTAACTAATGAGAGAGAGAGGGGGTCAAAGGGGGTGGGAGGAAAAAGGGAGATAAATCATTGTTGTTATTTATATGTGACGGAATTTGATATTTGACATTTTTATAGCACACTTCCAAGCTCCAAATTATATAATATATTGCTTACTTTTGATGAAGGGACAACAATTAGTGCATATTACAGAGCTTTTAATAATAATAATATTAATATTGACCCAAAGCCAACTTCAGAGAGTACCCAAATTATTGGCGTCATTAAAACGGTTCAACCAAAAAATTTTGCAAATTGTGCTTCAATCTCTTAAATAAGAGAAACAAACCAGTGAAAATTTGAAAGGCTTATATGACTTAATACAAGTTGTATTTTTGATTAATTCAAATAATTTATTTTGTAATATTCTTAAGATATATTATTCCTTAAATAAAATATGTCAGTTTCATAATCATAAAATTTTCATTTTATTAGGTTTGTTTTAAAAAAAATGAAAGATAAATATATTTTCAAAAATAGACTATCACTTTATAAATTAGCGGTAAAAAAAATTGGATTTTAGGCTTAAATGAGTGAGAATTAGATAAATGGGTTGTTGACAAATTGGTAAGTTTGGGCTTAAGTTGGCAAAGTTGCCCTTAAATCAATTAAGGGAGATTCTATTTTCACTTAAAAAATTATTAAGTATTTCTAATTTTTAAATACACCTTATTTAATTATTTAAAATTTTATTTTACTCTCATTACACCTTATTATTTTTTTCAAATTACTTTCAAGGTAAATTCAAATAATAAATAATAAATAAACTAAAAAAACCAAATTATTTCAAGAACTTTTCAATACAGAAACTAATTCTCAAATACAGAAAAAAAATCAAACTAATAAGCATATAAGCATTATAAATATAAAAAAAACAAACTTTTACATAAGCATTATAAAACTTCTGAATATAGAAAAAAAAAACTTTGACATTGTATATTATCCACAAGAATGCTCGTACAAAAGTAAAAATCAAACTTATAAGCACATAAATATCAGGCACTAACAAGAAAGAGTAGTTCTCAAACAATGTGTTATTTAAATGACAAAATAAGAACAACTCCAATAGAATGTTATTGTTAATCTAACTACTAGGTCCTTTAATTTTTTTCAAAAAAACGATATAGAAAATAATTGATGGTACTCTACAAAAATTATGAAACCTCTTTATATGAATACTTACCTCATTTTCTATGGGTTGCTTCAAAAAACTACCACTTTGTTTGGTTTTAGTTTTTTGAAAACAACACTTTTCAGAAAATTCTACTTTCTTGTTTTTTGTATTTTTACTGATTTTTTTAATATTTTAGGCAATTTTAAAATTTTTAGGCATACCTAACATAAATACACTTAAAAAGTATAATTTTTGTGAAAACAATCTTTCAAAAATTCACTAAATACTAAAAATAAAAAAAAAATTATGAATACTTAGTATATTTTTCGTATTTGTGTATTTATTAATTTTTAAAAATATTTTTTCACAATTATTTTACTTTTTAGATACATCTAAGTAAGCTGTATCTAAAAAAGTAAAAAAAAAAATGATTAAAATTTTAAAAATATTCACTAAAAAACAAAAAATTCAATTTTTAAAAAATTTAATTCAGAAAACTGAAACAAAAACACTGATTTTGATTATTCTCATCCATTATTTGATTTTGTTCAAATTTTTTTTTTCTAGGTTTTAGGGTTTCAAAATAATAAAAAACAATGATGTTGATGATGATGGTAAGTTTTGGTAGGATGGATTGGAGTTTTGGAGGGAAGAGGAAGAAGAAGAAAAAGAAGAAATAACGTTGATCTCTTAGGAAATAAGATACAGAGATTTAAATAAGATTAACTGATTATAGTGTATCATGAGAAAAAAAAATTATTTTAAAATTTAATATATGTTGTCCTTATTAATAAATTCATATTAAGATATAATATGAATTAAAATTTATAAATTTAAATTAGACGAACTGACACATAGACATATTTTAAGTTCCAATAAAATCCCCCATCAATTAACCATGCTCATAAATTGAACTGAAACATATCTTGAGTTTAAATAGAATCCCATCAATTAACCATGCCGCAAGAATCGATCCGGCCCAGAAAGATATGTCTTATACAGGCCTAGAAAGATTTGATCCATTACTTGTCCATAAAAGAAAGAGGCCCAGAAAGATATGTCTTTTGTAGGCCTAGAAAGATTTGATCCATTACTTGTCCATGAAAGAAGAGTGATTGATTAATTTGGGTGATTCTATTGAGTCTGGATCCCTTCCATGCATATCCTCTTTCATCTCCTCCTTACAGGAGGTTGAGGTCAGCCATTGCACATCCAACGGCTATAAAAAAAAATATATATTAAATTGAAATTTCATTTTATTCCCGCCCAAAACAAAACAGATTTTGGTCCTCCTTCTCTGTCGAATCCACAAAAACACACACTCACTCCTTCTCCGTCTAACCCACCCTCACCAGCGACCCAATACCGGCGGCGACCCACTCTCGACGCCGTTGCAGATCCGACGATGGTGACCCAGCCTCGACGCTGTTACAAATTCTGTCTACTTAGGAAACAAGAGTCGTCACGCTCTTCTTCTCCACCTCACCGAACCCGTCGCACCGGTAGACCCTCTCGACGCTGTTGCAGAATTCTATGTCTTGTGAAGAGACTTTAAGTGTTTCAAACAATAGTGGTATTGATTTGTCTGGGGCATTTGAATCTCTCTTCGGTTTTGAGTCCTTGGACTCGTCAAATTCTGATTTTTCTCAATCTATGTCACTTGAGGCTAGTCTTCCTCAAGGGGAAAGTAAACCAGATCTTGGTATGCATGTGCCATTGTCAATGCTTGAGAATTGGTTGTTTGATTAAGGTGTTGTTCAAGGGATCAAAGAAGAGTTGACTGACTTTTCATTTGATGAAAATACAGAATTGTTTTAGAGGAATTAATTCTTATTTTGGGCTTTTTTAAAAAAAAAACTCAATTTGTATCTTTTGTTGCTTTTTTAGTCTAGGCCTTGACATGAAGAGCAATTTTATGGTCTGATAATTCAAAACTTCATTCAAACCTCAAGTTATTTTTGTTGTCATTTTGCCTTCATTGATACTCTCTGCACCTCTAAAATGTTATGGTATTTGTTGTTTGTTGCAGAGATCTGTTGTCCATTAATGCTTTGAACCTATTTACTATGTATATACAAATTGTCTCAAAGAGGGTAGCTGTTCTATTGGAAATTAATTTTAAAAGTTGCATGCTGAGACCATTCTCTATGTATTTTGCAAAAGAAAATTCACTCTATTTTTTCTTCTTTTAACATATCAAGGAAATATGATCCTTTTGCCAATCAATTGTCATTTATGGGGATGGTTGAATTAAAATCGATCTCAGATGTGGATATGAATCCAGATGGACACAAATTAGTATATCATGAACCTGATTTGTTGGTAAATTAACCCCAGGACAAAAAAAGCAAAACAAAGTTATGTGTGGTTGACTCTGCTAAGTTTAAACTGAAACTTGGACTACAAATTGAGGTTGCTCCATTTATTAGTTTAAGTTTTCAGTTTTGTGGCACCACACCATTGGAAAAATCTAATTCTCTGTTTCTGTTTTGTCTTCAAATTTTTTATTTGTTTTTTTGAAAAACAAACTTATATGAGGAAAACATATGTAGCAATAGAACACAAATTTACCACTATCTTGTATGAAAATATTGCACCAGATCTCTATTTGTAGAACAAGTAGTGATCTGTCTATACAACAAAAGCATTTGAATTGCACCCAAAAATCTGATAACCCTGAAACTTTTCCAATTCTCCAGCTAAAATTTCACCCACATTCAGTTCAAGTAATTAATTCAGCTGAAACTAATTTCCACATCATAAAAGTATGGGTAATCACCGTATTAGCACAAACACAAAATATGATTTCAAATGTATTCAAATATTCCTACTCAAATAAAAGTATAAAACTATAAATACAAAATACAAATTACAAATTAACAACTATGAACACCAATCTATGAGTTCCAACACCAATTCTATAAGATACATCAACAACATTAATAAAACACACTTTCCAGCCCAATTTCAACATGATGAATAACAACAGTTTGATCAAACATTCCAGCCCAATTTCAGCAACATTAAGGAAGAAACCTTCGTTTATGAGCTGCCATGACTGAAATTTCCAGTGCGTTCCGCCTCTTTGTGCCTGTCAATAGCCTAAAACGAAAAAAAAAAAATTTAAAAAACATAGCAGCAAACTAAAAGAAAAGCAAACAAAACAAAAAACTTGACAACCCATATCAAGAAAACTCATAAAAGAAAAGCAAATAGAGTGAATTTTCTTTTGCAAAATACATAGAGAATGGTCCCAGTATGCAACTTTTAAAATTAATTTCCAATAGAACAACTACCCTCTTTGAGACAATTTGTATATACATAGTAAATAGGTTCAAAGCATTAATGGACAACAGATCTTTGCAACAAACAACAAATACCATAACATTTTAGAGGTGCAGAGTATATCAGTGAAGGCAAAATGACAACAAAAATAACTTGAGGTTTGTATGAAGTTTTGAACTATAAAACCTTTGGAACAAGATAGCTAAACAAAAGAAAGCTTCAAACCCCAATCACTTATCAATCTTCTCATATTTCCAGAGCCAAGGTTAATGAATAAGAAACATCAATTAATTTATATAAATATGACCTCTGTCCACCAGCCCAAGGTTTGGAAGAAAAGCAGGAGAGAGAAAGAAGGAAAACAGAGGTCGGGAGCTTCTCACCAGTGCTTCAAGAGCTTCTCTCGGTCGTCGGAGTGGGTCGCCGGTGAAGGTGGATTCGGTGGAGAAAAAGGGGACTGTGTATAAAACTGTATAGCTCTGCTTTATTTTGGGCGGGAAAGCCCAATTGAATTTGTTTTTTTTAGCCGTTGGATTTGCAACGGTTGATTTCAGCCGTTGCTAGTAAGAAATGAATGAAAAGTGTTAAGGAGGGGATCCGGACTCGATTCTATTTGCACCTAAAAAATTGTTTAGTACGGCCCATTTCTTATTATTCTTTATTTAATTATTTAATTTTATAATTTATTCATTATACACTATATTTTCCCTAATAATTTTATAATTTATTCTTCATACACTATATTTTATATAAAGATAGTGTATGAGGAATAAAATTAAACAGAAAAAAATGATCCATTATATCAAGCATTACGAAGAATTGACCATTAGGTTATGTTTAAATTATGAATTTCGGTAGAGATTTAAAAACAAAAGAAATAATATAAGTGAAATGTGACTGAAATATAGGGGGTGTTTGGGAAGCCTTGGGTTGGGCTATTTTAGCCTCAAATAAGAAAATAGCCAAAAAGCCTCACCTGTGCATGATTTTCAAAAAAAAAAAAAATAAAGTCAAATGATTACGGCTGCTGCAGCAACGCAGGCTACACTGCCACCAACAGTGTAGGCTGCAGACAGGTTTAATTACAATATTACCCCTACACAGTAATTTCGAAAAAAATAAAGTCAGGGACAAATTTGTCATTTCAATTTAAACATCATTTCAAACACATTTTCTAATATAACAACTCAAATAAAAATTCATCCCATCTTCCCAAACACAAAAATTAAAATAGTTTACTAAAATAGTCAAATAGCCAAAAAGCCTAAAACATAGCCACTTCCCAAACGAAGCCATAGTTACTTTTCATCTATATTTCACGCATTTTTTTTTCCTTTCCATTTTAAATTTTTTTATCAAAATTCATGCTCGAAACACAGTCTTAAGTTATATCTTCAATTTACAAATGACATTAAGATAATCATTTTATAAATATTTCAGGATGAAAAAATATTATTTATAGAGATTTTTTTTTTTATATATACAAAATACTGTGACAGTGACATTTTATAATTAAAATAAAAGTGGCATTCTATATAAAGATTTTGTTTGTATATTCCTGTTTAATTTTCAAATTAAAAAAAAAAAACTGCCATTTTCTGTTTTTTTTTAGTGAACTTTTTTTTTATACTTTTTACACAAATATTTTATTTTTTTAAATGCGTCTAAAAATTTAATAAATAAAATAAAGAAAAAAAAAATCAAAAACAGTTTAAAAAACTAAACCAAACAATGCTTTATTGGTGATGTCCTGTGTCAGTAGGTACTCTGTAGCACTGCTTGAGAATGAGAAGAGTATTTGGGTCACATATATACAAACAGTCTAAACAAAGCCGAAATTCCTTCTATTTATTTTGGTAATTCAAAGTTTTTCCAATGAGCATGTTCACAATGACTCAAACTACCATCACTCAAAAACCAACTAGAGGGGGAAAAAAAATCTAAAAATGTTTCAATGAACTAGCACATGGTAAAAATTACAAGCCTTTATTTACATTGAAGCTCATGAATAATCCGGAAGACTTACGGAGTCATTGAAGAATCAACAAGAGGGAAGATCTTCAGGAGGCGGAAGCAACCGTTGAGACGGGTCTGGACCATTTTCAACTACCAATCCAGTGGCTAGACCCCATGAAGTATGTGCCTCTAGGTGACAATGTATGAACCACGCTCCTGGATTGTCTGCATTTATACGAATGGCAGCCCATCCCCCGCTAGGAACCGCCACCGTGTTTCTCTCAGGAGGATCGACAAGATTGTAACGACCTAGATCCCTAACATCATCAAAATTCCCAAAACCTGTCCCAACAACAAAGAAATTGTGACCGTGCACATGGATAGGATGATTTTCCACGTTAAGAAAGCTCGTGTCTTGTAACACGATTTCTAGCTTCGTGCCATAAGGTACCACCAAAAGCCTAGTACCAAATTCGGTATTCATGTTTTGTGTCAATGGATTCACCCCTGTATAATTGAAAGCGTGTGGTGGCTTTTCTGGGAAATTGTAGGCGTAAGAGCTTGTTTTGAGGTTCCGGTAATGGCATTCCAATATTGACATGGTATGACGGACAAACGATTGGTTGTTCATCGAAGCCAAGAATCTCTTTCCATATAAGCCCTTGCAGGTTTTATTACCACCACAATCCTGTAGGTTTAGGCTTATGGTAGTTGTTACTCGCTTATTGATCTTTTTGGGCACGTTGCAAGGGTACTTAGTAGATGCTAGGCTTCGAATCTTGTTTGAAAATTTTGTGGCAAAGTCAGAATCGTTCATTTGAGGAAGGTTTTGAGGTAGATGACTGCAGGGTTTCACCGCGGTCTTAATTGTATCCGATTCTAGAGCATTGTATTTTAAGAAGCCAATTGTGGTCGTTTTATCAAAGGGGAAAGCTGATGTGACATAAGGTCGTGCTGCCATTACAAACGTGCCCGTGGGGTCGGGTACTTGATTTGCAGTGAGGAGGACATTGGTGGTGTGTCCAGGGGCGATCATGATGGCGGTGGTGGTGAAGGGTTTTGTGTAAACAGCGTCGACTTCTATGACAGTTAATGTGTGGTTTGCCACGGCGAAGAAGAGCTCATTGTTCATTGCTGCATTGATGATTCTGAACATGTAGGTTTTGCCGCGATCAATGGTCTGGATGAAAGTGTCTGCACATTGTGTGTCGATGATGGAAAATGGAAATCATTTTGGGCATTTATGAAAATATAATTTTTTGTATTGAAAAAAAAATAGGCCTAGTTTAACATTCAAGTTTCAACAATTCAAATAGGGTGCTTTTTGCTTCTGATTTCTGTATTTCATTTCTCAGTATATAAATGTAGAAAAGTGGAGGGTATTCATGCAAAAATAAAAAATAAAAATTTAGGGCTAGTAAAGTATTTAAGATTTAACCTTGGATGGAGCAGGGATAGAGGGGTCCTGGCATGCCATTAATGGTGTAAGCATCTGAAGAGCCAGGCCCTCCTCCAAAAATCATCATTTCACTCTCCACAGCTTCTACATCACCATTCCACCATTCTCCTGTGTTTGGAAGATAAACATGTTTACTACATTAGTAATAATATGTTTAAACGATGAAGAGTGCCTGATACTATTTTTGTAATTGTCGATGTCCACAATCTTTTTAAAGGATGTGTTTGACTTTGAATTGCAACAGTTTCGCCTCTTAGTTTTAAATCCAGTTCCAATATTCTAATAAATATCGCCTAGTTAGGATTTTTAAAAGAAATTGCACACATTGAGTATTTTTATGTGCAAAATCGCACACTTTGATTGAGGGAGAAGATGAGTCAAAAGGACGAGAAGGAAGAGAAAAAGGGAAGTAGGTGGCAGGACTCGAGGAAGGCATAGAGAGATGGGCACGAGGTGATGGTGCAATGACAATTTTTTGATATAAAAGGAGATGTTAGTTGTGATGAAATTATAATTTTTTCCTTAAAAATTGGTCGTGCACGCAATTCTCATTAAAAACCTCAACTGGCATTATTGATTGGACTAATTAAAATTCAAATCCAAAATTAAGAAACAAGAAACTCTTGCAGCTAAGATCACAAAGATTAAATTAACACAAACTTTTAGTTAGTGAAAGAGAAAGCAGTGACATAAATATTACCAAAAATGATTGGAATTTCAGATTGAATTGGAGCTGAAATTGGATAAGGCAAGCGAGGGTAGATAAGGAAGGCACCATAGAGGGAAGCTCTTTGCCAAGAGAGATGGGCATGCCACAATAGGGTACCCCTCTGTTCTGTAACGGTGAACTTGTAAGTATAGGACTGCCCTCTTCTGATAGGGCATTGGGTTATATAAGCTGGTCCATCTGCCCATCCAGTTCTTAGCTGCTTTATTCCGTGCCTTTGTTTTTTAATATTTGCATAATCAACACAAACTTGTGTTAATATATAAAATGTACAAAACAACATTTACTTGGCATGACACCCGATACGATTCCATATCTGTTTTTTTGTCTTATTTTTATTTATTTATATGTATTTGCATAATCAACACAAACTTGTGTTAATATATAAAATGTACAAAATAACATTTACTGTGCATGACACCCAATACGATTCCAAATCTGTCACGTAAATATTTTTTTGTCCAATTATTTATCTCAAGTTATTAATTGAATCAAATGAAGACAAAATAAAAAATTAAAGAATAAAATTCCGAGAATTAAAACTCTGTAGAGACTGAAATAATACAAGGGGACTAGTTATATAATTTGTCTCAATATATTTTATGACCTTGGAGCATTGTGTCACAATTAGTGCTTGGTTTTAGAGTTGAAAAATTAAAATAGATTTTAGGGCAAATTATGTCAATAGTTCTTGTATTTTGCTCCAATCTCTCTCCCTTTGCATCAACCCTTCCACCTCCTCCAGTCACGACCCCCCTCCCTCTCCCTTAGCCCCTCCTTCACTTTCTCCAACCGTGACCCCCTTGCCTTCTCCTACACTGTCTCGTCACTTCAACACCTACTCGACCATTATATTTTTCTCTTTCTACTCCTCTCCTAGTCAAATGGAATGAGATATTTAAACAAAATTACAAGTCAAACTCATTGAGTTGTATGTATAGAATAAACAATATTGGTAAAATTACTATTTTGCCCTTAGAAATAAGTGCAAGCTCACATGGACCTTTTTTGTCAAAAACACTAAGAGATGACATTAATTGGATCAAAATGAGACAAATTTTAAAAATTCAAGACTAAGATTAAGTTAATTAAAATTGTAAGAAGCAAAATAGGTGTAAAGTACAGAAACTGCTAACATAATTTGTCTTAGATTTTACTTGGAACTGGAAGTATGGAAATATGGAAATGGAACAGAACGCAGCTTTTTCATTGATTTATTGAAAATTCACACCAAAATGTTAGAATACTCACCAATGTAAAGTGGTGTTCCTATCAACACTGTTGGTGACTTTGATATCAACATTATCACCTTCATTCACAGCTATAGTTGGCCCTGGATACTCTCCATTCACCGTTAAAATTGGCTTTGTATTACATAAACGGGTTACTTTTTTCCACTCAACCTGACAAAACACAATCAATTTTTTTTCAACAACTTTCATGCCATGTGTCCATCGTGATTTTAAATAGCAATATCGAGAGATGAATTGTACTCAAGAATTGGGTGATGCAAGTGTGAATTTTTGAAAATCTTTAGTCACAAACAAATTCTTTATAATCACCAGACCAGCTGCATTGGCTATGAATTGTGAATCGATACACTCTAGTAAATGGGTAATAGTGAAATTACATATGTATTAACAGGTTTGAGAGATGTATTGACTTATAGTCAATTCACAGTTAATAAGATTGGTCCACAATAAATACCTTGAATTCAACTTCTTTAAAATAAAAATAAAAAAAGTTCTGTTTCATGGCTGATAAATTTACAAATTTCACAATTGCATCATTCAATTTCTAATACATATCGCTCGATACTTCTGATACTGTTACTCTACAAGTGGTATCTATTTGTCTCCTGATAAGGACTATTAGTGTGTGTGTATGTGTGTGTGTGTGAGAGATAGACAGAGAGAGAGTGAGAGTGAGAGAGAGAGTGCCTACATTGAAATGAAACTGCTTGGTGTTTGATGAAGAATGAGAAGGCAGAACACCCACAAGGACAAGAAGTCCCACCATTAGCAAAGCATAGCTGCCTCCCATTTTCATATTCTAGAAGAACTTCCTAAAGCTTGTGACAACCAAATCCCAAAAACATTCTACTAACCACTCCCCCATGATCACCTATATATTTAGTTTGAATTTCAATCTTATAATTATTATAAAAACTTCCATATATTCTGTTAAAGAAGACAAATTTTGTGGTGTAAGACAGAGAGCAAGAACATGTCAATTGGCCTTTTTATGTGAATGAAAATTATTTGGAATCTTTGGATGCTTGAATCCAGCTATTATTTATAGGTCATTATAATTCATAGTAGTTTACATTTTTAGATTTGGCAGATTGTTATCAAACCCCATTGTAATTCATGCATTACTTGGACCAGTGATTTAGGGTATAAAAAAAGTAAACATTCAAATTACTGCTAGCTAGCTAGGTTGGTGTGGTGGGTTAAAATCAAGACAAAACTTGGACTCAAAGAGTATCTTTTATTTGCCATAAATAATGCATGTTAGATGGAGCCTCCCTACTCATGCATGTTCCATTCTAACTTGGGAAGGGAATGGTTACTATCCGACGAACAACTTTAGGTCCTTATTCTCTATCCTATCATTTTTTTGCAGGTCCTCGATTTTTAAAGTAGTGATCAACCAGTCATTAGAGATGTTGAATGGGAAGAGGGATTTGGACCTCTCCATGGCTGTCCTTACCTTATACATTTTGAAGCTTAGAGTGTCCTCTGCTTGCTGTGACTTTGAAATTAGTAGGAGAGGTAGCACATATTTGTGACTAGGAATGGTTTGGTTGGGGTGGGTTGGATGACTTTTGTGACTACATCTCTATGTGGTTGGTGAAGAATTATTAGATGTGATATTCTAAATACATATCAAGCTAGTATCTTAATTATTTTTTGGAAGGTGAGTCAATATGAGCTTCTTCGTAAAAGAATTATATTGAATTAAACAATTAATTCCAATGTATCAAAAAATAAATAAATAAATAAATTAGACAATCAATATACAAGAAAGTTTAACTAAGACATGCTCAATATCAACTACCAATATTAACATGATAAATAATTTCAAAATAAAGACATGTTATTTGGTGATTTTGGAGCAATGTTCCACTCTATTTACCGTGTGCACTTTTTTTATTGTCCCACAAAGCACAACATAAAAATGGACTTAACTGTTTAAATCAAATAAAAAATAAGACATATACATCTGCCCTTCTAGTAGTAAGTAATCCATAATAATGTACTTGAAATTTCTTTTTTTTTTTTAAATTTTTTTTTTTAGGTGTTAAAATGGGGTAACACAATTGAGTCTATGTAGCATTCGAATCAACAATCTCGTATTATAAAGTGATGTTGCACAAACACTAAGTTAAAGGTCATAATTTTCTATCATACTTTCTACTTTCTAGACAATGATCTTGTTGAGAGTTGACCATGATTTTTCAATTGTGAATGTGCTGAGTTAGGCCTTGTTTGGGAACCTTCCATTTTAGTCAAAAAGTCAAAAAGTTACTATAGCCAAAAAGCCAATAACTCATACTAAAAAGTCAAAAATTCTCTTTTCTTTCTACTTTTTGCACATCTTTTCGTAAAAAGTCAAAACGTCATCTCAAACATACTAGTTTTTTTTAGCTCATATTTTAGCCAAATAGTCAAAAAGTTACTAAATTAACTTGTTCCCAAACGAGGCTTAATCTAATTTGTTAAATACACTCAAATTCACTATTTAAAAATCGTTTAAACACATCTAAATCATAATTAAATTTCATTTTTAGGTTGTCATATGAAGACCCACTTAAAATTGGTTTAATTGGGTTGAAAATGGATTAGATTAAGTGGGTTGCAACGAGTTATACAAAATAGATAAATCAATTAATTGAATTTCTATAATAATACAAGTGAAATTTACTAAAATTAGAAAATATATAAACACACACATATATATGTATAGAATCACTTACTCGTACATATGCATAAATTAATTTTACTTTAAAAATAAATAAAAAAAGAAAAATAAAATCTCATTTAATATTACCATATTTTCACTTTGAGTGAAGTAAATTACTCGGACTTTCCCTGACAAATGTGATAAATACAATCGACCCCATTAGTTCACTAAATTTCGATATTCCATTAACTCAAAGATTTTCTAAACATTCTCAACAAAACCTATATAATCACACACACACTCATATGCTATCCATTACAAAATCTATTAGTGCTTTCCAAACATGACTTAAGTAGCTGTTGAAAGGCTCAGCATGATAGAAGATCTTGAGGAGGAGGTCAAAGGCACTGATTAGGACCTGACCCGTTTTCCGCTATCATACCCGTAGCCAAACCCCATGAAGTATGTTCCTCAAGATGACAATGGATGAACCAAACACCCGGATTATCCGCCTTGAGTCGGATGGCGGCCCACCCGCCACTTGGAACCGCCACTGTGTTCCTCTCAGGCGGGTCCACAAGATTATAAAATGCCGGGTGATTGGCTGCATCAAAATTCCCAAACCCTTTCCCAACAATAAAAAAGTTGTGACCATGAACATGGATATGATGGTTCTCAAAATTAAGAAGACTCGTATCTTGCAACACTATTTCCAAATTTGTACCATAGTTCACCTCCAAAAGCCACTACAACAAAAAGTATTTTTGGCGACACTTTTTAGCAACCAAACAAAAATTTAGTTGCCATAGATACATAATTGGTGACAGAATATTTGTGGTCACTAAAAAATAAACTTTTGGCGACGAATTTATAATTTTGGTCGCTATTGATTTTGGCGCCAAGTGAATTTCTTGAGCGGGAGCGCGAAAAACTTTTCAGCGACCAAATTAATATATAGCGACGGAAATTTTAGTCGCCAATTGTATTTGTTTGGCGACAGGCATTACTTGGTCGCTAAAAATCTGAATAACATTTATGGAAACCAAATTAATTTGGTTGCCAATAAATTATTTGGCTTTACCCTAATTTTTTATTGCCAAAAAATTGTTAACAAGTGAATAAACAAACAATTGACCTAACTTCTTCTCATTTTCTCATCCATCTGAAACGACACAGCACAGAACGGCACAACACAAATCAGGTATGTTCTTCTTCTCTTCTTCTTCTCATCTTCTTCTCTCTCTTCCTCTCCCTCTTACTCTCTCGCGCTGTTGAATGCGAAAGGCACAGCAGTGCTCGACGGCAGCAACACTGGCCGGCAGCAGATCGCGACCCTCTTTTTGGGTCACTGCTCTGTTCTCTTCTCTATCTCTGATATTCTGAATGTAGTCCCTCTCCCTCTCCCTCTCCCTCTTGCTTTCTCGCGCCAATTATGTATCTCATGTTTTATTATTATTTATTTGAATGTGGATATATTTAGCTAATGTGACCCTAATCCTCCATGGATCATGTTTTGGCATAGTTTTAATCTCTATGGTTAGAACATGATTTTTTATTGAGGTTCAAATTACAAGTTTGAAATGAAAGGATTTGGGGGCTTCAAGTTTATAAATGTGTAACAAGACTGACTTTTTAAGCTATATTGGGAGAGATGAGAGCATAGGGATACAACTAATCAAAAGACATAATGGAAATAGCCTTTTTAATACCAAAAATATAAAATTCCTCCCTTTCAAGGCCTTAAATTCACCAAGAAAACACCAAAAGTTAGAATAGATTCAGTGCAACTAAATTCATTTGAATTAAATAAAAAAACATGGACTGAATAACTAAATTTGGTTTCGGAGGGTTGAGTTCCAAAAGCTATATGTATCTCCACTGTTCACTTTCTATTTGGGTTTATCTTGATTTTTAATTTTGTATTCCTGTTGCACTATGATTTGATCTCATTGAGCTTTTCTAGTTGGACTGGAAGGTTGTAAAGTGTGAATCTAAGGACATTGTGGGGGAAGTTTCTAAGACTCATCATGCTATACAGTAAGTTCTTCTTGTGCTTGTTTACATAAGTAGATTATGTGTGTATACTTCCATCTGATTTTTGGGTACCTTGGAGTGGACCTTATACTGTACTATATTGAATGTAGAACATTGGATAAAACCATTTCAAATTTAGAGATGGAATTAGTTGTTGCAAGGGCCGCGCAGGAATCTATTCTCAGTGGCCCTCCTCTATCAGAAGACTCAAAGAAGACTGACTCATCTCTAATAGAAAATATTTTATGGTTGTTGGAATTAATACTGCTTTTAGCAGCCGGAAAAGAAGAGATTCAATTCGGACTACATGGATGCTACAAGGTTGGTGGATTGATTCCTTTCTTTAGTTTCCTACTAACTTCCTTTTTGAACAAGGATTCCTCCTAACTTCTTGATTTTATTTTTTAATGCTATTTTGGTTGCTTTTTTTTTTTTTTTTGGCCCCCCCAAACGGGCCGTTTTCGCCTTTTTCTCACATCTTTGTCTCTAATTCTCTAACCATGCGTCCTATCAATGTGCCACTTGCTCTTACATGTCTGTTTAATCTAGGGTGAGGTGCACGTGATAGTCTCCGGGCAATTTGCTGGTGAGGTGCCCTTCAAACTTTTTGCATAGAATCACCATGTGCAAAAACAAAACAAACAAAGAACATGATAATGTAGAACAAAGTTGAATTTCAGAGAGATGGAGAGCAACCCTGCACTCACCCATTGCATCTGTTTAATTAAAAAAATGCTTATAATAATGATAACATTTTGCAGCTTAGCATGGAGATCCCCAGCCACAATTTCTATTCACCACTATGGAGCTAGTAAAAAGAACAAAGACTGACGAAATTTAAACTATTGTGTTAAAAAAAAATCCTACAGCGCTTACAACATTCTCCTCTCTTATGTGTTTTTGCATCCTATCAAGAACTTCCACTTTCATGCAAGCTTACATTTGCACCTGACCTGCAAATTTTTAAAATATCAAATAAGCACATATAAATGAACTGGCCTAGAAAAAATGACACAGAAAAAAAATACGATTCAATTTCAAGAACACCAACTGATAAAGCAACACTTGTACATGTAAAAGAAAATAAATAATAGGAGAGGTGTCAAAACATACAATACCAAGTTGGACCAAAGCAGCCTAAATAAATCCAACCATGCAACTCTGCTCACATACAAATGCAACTGAG